GGCGGACGCCCCGGCCCCAGGCCATCCCCCCCCCCGCCGAGAAGCAGGGCCAGCTGGCCGGGGGGTGGTGAGACAGGGAGGAGCAGGTTGCTGAGCCACCCAGTCACCCCAGTGTGTGAGGGATGGGGCGGGGGGATCCCTGCTGCCACCATGCCAGTCTGCAGTAGTCCCCCTGGGGAGAGGGCAGGTTGCGGGTGGAGACAGGGTGGGACTTAGGGAAGGGATGGAACATGGCAGGGGGGGGCCAGTAGTGGCTACCTACCCACCCTGGTTAATAGCCATTGATGGAACCTAACCTCCAGGAATCTATCTAGCTCTTTTTAGAACCCTGTTAAAGTCCTGGCCTTCACCACATCCTCTGGCGAGGAGTTCCACAGGTTGACTGTGCGCTGAGTGAAGAAAACCTTCCTTTTGTTTGTTTTAAACCTGCTGCCCATTAATCTCATTTAGTGACCCCTAGTTCTTATAGTGTGGGAAGAACTAAATAACTTTTTCTTACTCACTATCTCCACACTAGTCATGATTTTACAGACCTCTATCATAGCACCCCTCAGTCTCCTCTTTTCTAAGATGAACAGTCCCCGTCTTTGTAATCTCTTTTCATACGGGACCCGTTCCAAACTCCTCAGCATTTTTGTTGCCCTTCTCTGAACCTTTTCCAAAGCCAAGAGATCTTTTTGGGATGAGGTGACCACATCTCTATGCATTGTTCAAGATGTGGGCGTCCCATGGTTTTATATAGAGGCAATGTGATATTTTCTGTCTTATTCTCTAGCCTTTTTTTAATGACTCCTAACATTCTATTTGCTATTTTGCTGGCCGCTGAGCACGGAGTGCCTGTTTTCGGAGAACTATCCACAATGACTCCAAGGTCTCTCGCTTGAGTAGTTGTAGCCAAATTAGTTCCATAATATTGTACATATGGTTGGGATTGTTCTTTCCAATGGGCATTACTTGACATTTATCAACATTCAATTTCATTTGCCATTTTGTGGCCCAGTCCCCTAGTTTGGTGAGATCTTTTTGAAGCTCTTCACAGTCTGCTTTGGTCTGAACTGTCTTGAGTAGTTTGGGATCATCTGCAAATTTTGCCACCTCCCTGTTTCCCCCTTTCTCCAGATTATTTATAGATAAGTTGAATAAGATTGGTCCTAGGACTGACCCTTGAGGGACCCCACTAGTTACCCCTCTCCACTCAGAAAACTGACCATTGATTCCTACCCTTTGTTTCCTGTCTTTTAGCCAGTGAGCAGTCCATGAAAGGACCTTCCTTCCTATCCCATGACAACTTACTTTACATAAGAGCTTTTGGTGAGGGACATTGTCAAAGGCTTCCTGGAAACCTAAATATACTATATCCACTGGATACCCCTTTTCCACATTTTTGTTGACCCCCTCAAAGAACTGCAGCAAATTAGTAAGGCAGGATTTCCCTTTTCAGAAACCATGTTGACGTTCCCCCAACAAATTATATTCATCCATGTGTCTGACAATTTTATTCTTTGCTATAGTTTCAACTAATTTGCCGGGTACTGCCATTAGATTTACAGGTGTGTAATTGCCAGTCAGTCAGAGGTATTTTGCTATACCCGGAATTTGTCAGGGTATGTCTACACTAGCTCCCTAGTTCGAACTAGGCTGGTTAATGTCGGCATTCAAACTTGCAAATGAAGCCCGAGATTTAAATATTCCGGGCTTCATTTGCATGTTCCTGGGCGGGCGCCATTTTTAAATCCCCTTAGTTCGAACTGACTGCCCGTGGCTACACGCGGCCGTCAGAAGTTAATCCGAACTA